GAATATCATATGGGATGTGAAAGTATAAAAATAATAAAAATAAAGCCAAACATCAACCTTTTTTGGCATCTTTTATCACTGACTACACAAAATCAATTCAACACTCTTTCTACACAATTCAACCAAATTTTTATAGAATATCTCACATTATACTTGTGTCCACTAAAGTATTATAAATAAAATTTACTGTAGACACTATACAAGCCTTCAAAATTTTATTGGTGATCACCATTCTATGCTTTTTACCTCTACTATTTAGTATGCTATTTGCTTAAACAGTACTGACAAGCCTGCAAATGCTGCTCAAGTGACAAAAAGACTGTATAATATCTAGAAGCAGCTTATTACATTGTAGACACCATGTTGTGACTTGGGGTTAAGTGATATCAAGGCTAGAATTAGGCAAAAACATTCCTTTCTTTTCTAGCACTAAAGAAGAGGAGATTATAAGCTTCACTATTGCCATCCATTTGGCCTCAGATGATTACTTCCTGTTCTATCTGCTAATAGTATAATTTTTGTTCAGCTATTCATAGTACAGCACTAGTGATACATAGCAGTGTTTACTCTTACTTCTATAGTGCTAAATAAAAAAGGGATGTTTTTACATAATTCTAGCCTTGATATCACTTAACCCCAAGTCACAACATGGTGTCTACAATGTAATAAGCTGCTTCTAGATATTATACAGTCTTTTTGTCACTTGAGCAGCATTTGCAGGCTTGTCAGTACTGTTTAAGCAAATAGCATACTAAATAGTAGAGGTAAAAAGCATAGAATGGTGATCACCAATAAAATTTTGAAGGCTTGTATAGTGTCTACAGTAAATTTTATTTATAATACTTTAGTGGACACAAGTATAATGTGAGATATTCTATAAAAATTTGGTTGAATTGTGTAGAAAGAGTGTTGAATTGATTTTGTGTAGTCAGTGATAAAAGATGCCAAAAAAGGTTGATGTTTGGCTTTATTTTTATTATTTTTATACTTTCACATCCCATATGATATTCTAAGACATGTGTCATTTATCACATCATGTGTAGGTGGTCTAATTCTATGATTTTGATATAAAGTCAAATAAGTGTCTCAATGAGTCACTAAACTAGAATAGCCATATCTCCGCTCCATGACATCACTTTCCCACGCTGCATATCTCAGATTCAAGCCTGGATACGACGGATTCAGACATGTCCCTATAGCCCTATTATATTCCTACACCCTGGCTCACAATGATGCAATTATATGAAAATGTGCAAACATTGAGACACTTTTTTGAGCCACTGTACATATTGAGTAGTGAGTAGGTACCAAGATATTCAGCATCGAGTATCAAGTACCGAGTCCCAAGTATTCAGTGCTCGGTGCCCGGTGCCCGGTGCCCGGTGCCCAGTGCCCGGTGCTCGGTACTCGATATTGTAGACCGTGGGAACTTTTTCGATGAAAACCAAAGTTGTAGCCCTTGTCTAGGGGAGTCTATCCATAGTCTCATGACATCAATAGGTTAAGATCCTAGTAAGATATAAGCAAAATACTTGCAAATGGAGTGTTCAAGAAAGCACTTTGACCATGGGAACTTTTTAGATAAATATCTGCCCGGTGCTCGGTGCTTGGTGCTCAGTGCTCGGTGCTCGGTGCTCGGTAGTTGGTGTTTGGTGCTCGGTACTCAATATTGTAGACCGTGGAAACTTTTTCGATGAAAATCAAAGTTGTAGCCCATGTCAAGGGGAGTCTATCCATAGTCTCATGACATCAATAGGTTAAGATCCTAGTAGGATATAAGCAAAATACTTGCAAATGGAGTGTTCAAGAAAGCACTTTGACCATGGGAACTTTTTAGATAAATATCTGCCTGGTGCCCGGTGCTTGGTGCTTGGTGCTTGGTGCTCAGTTGAGTACCAAGATATTCAGCATTGAGTATCAAGTACCGGGAACTGAGTACTAAGTACCGAGTACCGAGTATTCAGTGCTCGGTGCTCAGTGCTCAATGCTCAGTAGTTGGTACTCAGTGCTCAGTGCTCAGTTGAGTACCAAGATATTCAGCATTGAGTATCAAGTACTGGGAACTTAGTACCGAGTACCAAGTTTTGAGTATCAAGTACTGAGTATTCAGTGCTCGGAGCTCGGTACTTGATATTGTAGACCATGGGAACTTTTTCGATGAAAACCACAGTTGTAGCCCTTGTCTAGGGGAGTCTATCTGTAGTCTCATGACATCAATAGGTTAAGATCTACCAATATATTCAGCATCAAGTATCAAGTACTAGGAACTGAGTGCCAAGTACTGAGTACTGAGTTTTGAGTATCAAGTAGGTACCGAGTACCAAGTATTCAGTGCTTGGAGCTTTCGATGGCAGGGATGGAGCCCACACCCTCGAAAATTGAGGATCCCTCTGCCATCGAGGGTCTCATATTTTAGCTGAGCCAAGTTCAACTAGCCCTGGACCCATCACCTACTCCCCCAACTGCCGGAGACATTGTGGTGCCGGATGATCCATGCAACCTTTTCCCGTAATACGATTCTGCTGATGACATGGATGTTGAGGTCAAGGTTGAAGTTGAAGGTGGTGATGAGGGTCATCTGGGTGAGGTTGAAATGTCTACATAATTTGGTAGTGTAAGATTTCTGTAAATGTTGTTGAAATGCATTGTACCTCCGGCATACCCAAAGAATGAAATCATTGAGTTCTGGGTAACATCTATTGACGTCCAGGTAACTAATATTGAGTTCCGGGTATTTCATAAATTGAACAAATCACCAAGTACTGAGTACCAAGTTCCAGACACTGAGTTCTGGGCATTGAGTTCCAGGCATTGAGCACTGAAACACGAAACTAAAATAAAACATTTCATAAATTGAACAAATCACCAAGTACCGAGTGCTGAGTGCTGGGTTTCGGCACTCGGTACTCGATGCCTGAAACTTGGAACTTGGCACTTGGTGCCCAGAACTCGGTACTTGGTACTTATACCAATACCTAGGCCTATCTGTCTATATGATACGTATCTGGGCCCACCCGTCTGTCTAATATTACCCAACGTCGGCCCACCTGTCTAGGTAAAATTCCCCACTTCGGCCCACCCGTCTATGTAATATTTCCCTATGTCGGCCCACCCGTCTATGTAATAAATAATTCACCTCACCCTCGGCCCACCTGTCTATATAATAAATATTTCACCTCACCCTCGGCCCACCCATCTATCTAATATACCCCTATGTCGGCCCACCCGTCTATGTAATAAATAATTCGCCTCACCCTTGGCCCACCCGTCTACCTAATAATACCCCACATCGGCCCACCCGTCTAAGTAAAATACCCCACATCGGCCCACCCGTCTATCTAATATTTCCCTACGTCGGCCCACCCATCTATGTAATAAATATTCCACCGCTCCCTTGGCCCATCTGTCTACAAAATAATACTAATATGTCGGCCCACCTGTCTATATAATAATATTTGCTATATATCTCTCCTCAGGTCTATAATATATGTCAATTCTACTCTACATATTACCCACATGGGCCCACCCATCTCCATAATAATATTTCTCCCGGCCCATCTGCCATCGTCGATGATATATATAACATCAGCATAGATGGGCCCACCCGTCAACATCGGAAATAATATTTCTCCTGGCCCACCCATCAACATCGGGAATATACATAACATCGGCCCATAATCTGCTGGCCCGTATTACACGGGATATTATGTAGGTCGGGTGACCCGTATAGTATGGGATTTGTCACTCAAGGGGCTCTCCAAGAAATCATGGAGACTGGCGAGGGAACAAATACCAAACGCACACGCTGAGCCAGTAGGCTACCTTGTGGCTTGGGCATCCCTGATATTGTACTTAGTCTGTCCTGGTTGTTCGCTGAGTCTTGGTTGTTCAGTGTACTGAAAATTTGAAGATTAACTGTTGTTAGACTTACTCGGAGATCTCAGATCTGGTGTGGATGGGGGTCAATGATCCTACAGTGTAGCTGAACGTTGAAGATCAGCGCCAATATTAGTAAGCTATAGCACCAAGCAGTGTCAAGTCAACTAACAATGTGGGAATTTCAACTTCTGATCTATTAAATCCTGACTCTGCACAACATCAATCTCGAAGCCTGTAATGACTTCTCACTTATCAAGAGTATGCTTCTGCCATCGATGTCATTCTCCTCGCACCATCCCCTTCACTCCCACAACTGTGCTGCTTCTCCTCACACAAGATTGTCCAGATGGATTTTACTATGGATTTCATCAGGCTTGATTCAGTTCTCAATCGCATCGCTATGCAATGTGGGGTACCAGGAGATACACTGTTAGTCAAGTGGCTTGAGAGGCAGGAAGTTAGAGATTCTGAGTATTGGAAGCAGCTCAATCGCATCCCTTGCATTATTGGCAGGTTCAATGCACTTCTTGCTAAGTTTTAATGGTGATTGATCTATATAGTTACTGACAATTTTATAGGTACAGGCACACTTGATGGTTGGGGGGGGGGGCATTTCCATGGAAGACATGACCCACCATACTAGCCCGCCATGGCTACACCCTCCACCACTACCCCAAGAATGTTCTTGTTACACTGAAGTATAATGCAGGCAAACAATCAATCAATAAGACCAAAGGTCTGTCAATACGTTCTAGACAACTGTCTAAAGAATGCCCAAGTTCAAGTAAAGGCTAAGTACCGAAGAGATAACTTAGAATCAAGTCAGAGTGATCAGAGGAAAACCAGTGTAGGTTAAGCTGAAGAATCAGTGTCACCTAGCCAGGGTTTATATAGTAAACAGGGTACAGGGTATGACATAATAATAGGTAATGATCAGTAAGCTACATGTGTAAGCAATGAGGCGTCTGAGTCATACCAAACTAAATATAGACTAATAAGAGTCATGCATAGTAAGCATGGATCAAGGGAAAGAAGAAAAAAAGTTCATAGAAAAACACAGCCATAACAGTTCTCATGCCTGGCGAGAAACACCCAATGGTCTCTTGCTCCATGAGCAGGACCTACTCGCTGATGCCCTCAAAACCAATTCCATCACCATTCAGCACATCACTACCCACACCTGCCGGAAAAATCTTGACCTCCTGTGAACCAATCATCTTTGGAGAGGTGCCTGCATATGATTCGCAGAACCTGCATGGCTGGTGTGCGTTCCTCAATGGTCAGATCGATAGGAAGGGGCTTCCTCATCTCACAATGGCTGAGACATCTCCAGAGCCTCCCTCAGAGCCATCTCTTGTGCTATCTCCACCTGTGCCTTTGTGTTGGCTTCGTTGGCAGAAACTACAGGTATTATCACCTGAGGATTCTCCTGTGATGTCTCCCGTAGTGTCTCCCACACCTTCTCATCATCATTCTCCTGTGGTGTCTCCTGTGCCCTTGCATTGTCGGAACCTCCAAGTTTTCATTGAGTTGACCAATGACCCTCCCTCCTAGATGCCTGTCAGTAGACCAGAAACTGGTGGACTTATTCCAGAGATCACCTGCCTCACTCAGCTCTTGGCGACTACAGGTGGCACTGTCGATGAGGAGGAAGATGAAGTTGATGGGCTGCTTACCCAGCTTGATGAGGAAGAAGTCAATGATGAGCTTGTTGGGTCCCAGTGAAGTTGAAGTCTTTCTGGCAGCTGTGTAGAATAACCTTGTACTTGATATCACGGTCTGACCCCCCATAGGCCCAATCTGATGCACGTCCCGCCCCCCAGTAAGTCCAATAATCTCTGGGCCTTACACCATTCTGTTTCAACTCTTGCTTCAGTAACCGGTGTGTCTCCCACAGCAAAAAACACTTAATCCCTACCACCAATCCCCACTAGGTCAGCATGTTAATGACCAAAGTCAGAAGTACTCACAACCTGACATTCCTCAAGCGCATCACGGAGTTGCACGACTTGCAAGATGGTGATGGGTACATCCCTTTTGACATCAAGACCGGGCAAGACTTGCTCCCATAATGGCCACCTCTCATCAAACTCCTCGAGTATGTTGTCAATGAGAAGGTCTGTTTGGCTGTCCCAGGGTTGACGTCTTCTGAATGCGGGAATTTTGGAGCGCAGGAACTCGGCCCTACTAGTCTCCATCCAGATCCTGATCTAGTAGAGTGTTAGCATCAGTATTTATAGCATGATGAGATGGTATGGGTTCTTCACATAGAATTGAAATACTTTTATAAATATTTAGAGACAGATTGAGCCCATTCAGTGTACAACTCTGTGTTAGATGGGCCAGCTGAGGGACATAATATCCCATATTAAATGGGCCAGCGGACCATGGGCCGATGTCATAATATCCTTGATGTTGATGGGTGGGCCAATGTGTATATAATACTCGATGGTAATGGATGGGCCAATGTTGCCACTATGTGTAAGGGATTTGATAGAGATGGGAGGGCCGAGATATTTGAATGATGTAGACTAGTGGGCAGATGGAACTGTCGATTGCATAGGTGGATGGGCCGATGGGACTGTACATCATATAGACAGATGGGCTGATCGACATGTGGATTGTATAGACAGATGGGCTGATGGAACTGTCGATTTTATAAATGGATGGGCCAATGGGACTGTACATTACATAGACAGATTGGCCAATAGAACTCTTGATTTGAATGATGTAGACTAGTAGGCCGATGAAACTGTCGATTATATAAACAGATGGGCCAATCAACCTGTAGATTGTATAGACGGATGGGCCGATGGGACTGTACATTACATAGACGGATGGGCCGATAGGACTGTACATTACATAGACGGATGGGCCAATAAGATTGTACATTAAATAGATGGATGGGCCGATAGAACTATTGATTTTATAGACCGATGACCTAGGAAGACAGATATTAACTCAGTGATACTGGACGTTGGAATATGTTACTTGGTGCTCGGTACTCAGGCCTGAGTGGTTGGTTATGGGTGGTTGGGACCTGGGACTGACTTGGTGTGTGATGCTTGGTGCTTGGTGCTTGACATTCGGTTGGGGCTCAATCGCTTTCTCAGAGGTATGGAATTTATGAATATACTAATGACCCTCCCTGGCCGATGTTTCACCAAATGGAATCTTTACCGAATCCATCATGGCCCATCCACATGAAGGAACACCTGCATAAATATGGACTGAATCCCTCATATACCATGCCCAAGCAACCCAATCCCCTGCTACTTCATGGACCCCATGCCTGACTATCCTTCCTGAAAATGCTATCATGACCCTGGGATCATACATGAACTCCAGCTGAAGGCTGGGCATGCTCATGTGAGCATTAGAATAATTCCCCACAGTTGTGAGAATGTCAAACCACTCGGGAGATGATAAGTGGTCTCTATGATATGGGGTTTGCCAATTAGAAATGACAGAGAGGGTATTGAAGATGGAAGCCCAGAGCTTGAGGGTCTCTGACATGTTCGGAAGGTTCTTGGTTTCAGCCGACTCACTGAGGCTTGAAAAGGCATGCATGCCTGCCCAGTACTGTCGAGGATGCATGACCCTGAGTGCTGCTGAGGCTATAGCTGCCGGCCTCACAATAGCTTTGAGGATATCCTCGGAAAGTGGACCCTTCAAGGAAGCGGATACCTCCGGATCTGAGACAGTCTACAGGAGTGGTGAGTTTAACTACTGAGGAACATCGGCATGTCATGGCATCTAACCTCATGCCCCTGCTGAAACCACGCAAGGGATATATTGATGCATCCGGCAGCAATGTCACCATTCCCGGAGCCTTGACCGAACCACTCTTCATTAGTCTGCCAAGTGCCGCCGACTTTTACACTTTTTTCAAGTGTGGGAGTCAGCAATTGTGAGGCCTTCCAAATTTCTTCCTGTAGTATATTCAGTATTCAGGATCCATCGGGCGATGAAGAATCTGAAATACCTGGGTGGTGTCTGTGAGTGCACCAGGGAGATACCACACGATGATTGCACCGGTGACATTGAGAACTGTGGCAGGCATGTCAACAAACTTGGTACCCTCATGGCCAGGAGGACACCTGTCAAGCAGCTTCTTCTCTCTCTCTTCATTATGGCCAGTGTCCTTCGGGGATATCAATTTGCTGTATCTTGCAATATCGATCTGCATCTGAACTGTGATCGAGGAATCTGAATGATCAAATGGAAGATCCAAATCTGCAATCCGACTCACTGGGATTGTGATATGCTTTGATGAGGCAATCAACCAATTGATCACAAGCCATCACCAGATCGGTGCCTAGGTGAGGAGAAGGTATGACTGGATCCCCTCCCATCTTGTCCACATTGAATTTCTGTTTGGTATATTCACTCGCCTCATGGGCGACAGTCAGGGCCCAAGAGATCCAGAAGGATATCTCAATCTCGGAGTCTGGGGACACATTCATGATGAAGGGATGTATTTGATGGTGGGAAATGTGATGGCGAGTATAAGATGATTCCTACAATTCGGCTTTATGGTGGATATCAGATCCGGGGTGGCGGAGATTGCAAGGATCAGATAGGGCCACATGATGCATGATCTTGGTATAGAGCACTGATGACCAAGTACCAAACATTGAGTATCAAAGATGCACCGAGTACCGGTTATTGAACTGAGGGCCAAATACCGAATATCAAGTATCCCAGGTAGGATCACAGAGTCGATGATCCATACCGAGGACAGGATCTCCAGGATTGTGGACCGAATGCCGCGCAAGGACCGATTACCGGAGAGAGTTCACTGAGTCTTCAGTACCGAGTACTGACAATGGAGCCCCAAGGACCGAGTCCTCAGACCTGAGTCTGCAGTAATGAGCACCGGGTGCAGTACAGAGGATCGGGCCCCAGGACCCAGATGTCCTCGTTACTCGGTACTTGGTAAAGACAGAGCACCGAGGACCGAGCAATCAGACCTGATGGTGCACTGATGAGTGCCGAGCACCGAGCACCAACTGCCAAGCACTGAGTGTCAAGCACTTGGAAATTCATTCAGGAGGCATTCAGTGCCAGTCTTCACTACTGAGGAGCGGGACCCAGGAGTCCTTGGTACTCGGTACTTGGTAAAGACGGAGCACCAAGGACCGAGTGATCAGACCCGAGGCTGCACTAATGAGTGCCGAGCACTGAGTGTTGAGCACTCGGAAATTCATTCTGGAGGCATTCAATGCCACTCATCAGTACCAAGGAGTGGGACCTGGGACCCGGAGTCTTTGGCTCTCGGTACTCGGTAAAAAGTGCTGATGGGTCAGTCCTTGGTGCTCACTCTGTATGTGGGACTCGGTGATTCTGTACATTTGAATATGTCTACGGTATATACATGCTGGCGTGCTGAAGCATAACAGCCTTCCTATGGATCCCGATCATTCCTGCAATCCATTACTGCACACCTCCCTGGCTCGCTGCAATCGGGTGAGGATACCAGTGTACATTTGTATCTCACCCATCTTATCTCTGATGCCCTCCCACTGTTCTTCAATCAATGTCACCAATCATCCTCGAATCCACCGAAGTCCCATAAGAGATGGGATGGAGGTTTGATCCACCACCCTGGATGTTTTGATTCATCAACTGTAATTAAAATGGTACTCGGTGCTTACCTCAGCCCTGATAAATCAATGTTGAGAGACCAGAACCAGGCAAGGGACTCGTTCCGCTGACCTCGGGCATTTGGATCACTGACTGCAGTGCTGATCTTGAGCTGTTCTTGGAGTAGAGGTTGGTATTTCTGAAGCTGGTGCTGCCCCAGACCAAGTTTCATCATTTGCTTCCTTGTCCTGTTGTACATACTGGCATTCAGAGACACAGCCTGCTGAACCAACATCACCTGGGACCATGCCCGAGTCTTCAAAGCTTGCAACTTCGCCTGCCTAAGGGTGGTTCGGAAAAGGACCGCCTTGTTGCACAAGTGTATTTGGAGATTGTGAAGGGCATCATTGGCCTGTCCTTCACGAAGCGACATCTCCAGCGGAATCAGATCCTCTGCTAAGCAGTGTTGGAGTCGGTCCAGCCCGACATTGGATGGCAATGGGATGACAGTGAGCTCGGGGGTGTTTGGGTAGGTATCGAGAGTCTCACTGAACTCATCCGGGCCATCGTTGAGATCATTGAGAATTGCACAACTCAAGTCCTCTGGATCTTCATCACTATTGAATCCATCTCCGAAATGCAGGAGAGCGGACCGAGGGAATTCATCGATCTGTCCCTGCACCCGATTGCATTGACAGGCGATGTCTAATCTCTGTGTCTTGGTAGGTCTTTGTGCGATTCCCCGGACCTCAATGAGCAATGTGATCTGAGCTTCTTCAATTGCCAATCCCATGGATATCCATGTTGCGACCGATTGGCAGGAAGGTGATGCATGACGAGCATCATTCTCCTCCAGTAATCTCAGCTTGATCTCCTTCTTGCTCAGTGCTGCAGGCGCTATAAGTTCAAACACTTTGATGTCCATGGAATGATCTCACCCTTCTGGATATTGATCTCATATATGTCCATCGCAGTGGGATCATGTATTCTGTTTGACTGTGCGACCCTTTCACTCACCAACCACACAGTCTTTGAACTTTCTGGTGCCCCCTCATCTAGTCTATCAAATGCTTTCCTATTTTCGGTGATGCTACACTTCGCCCTTTTGAATTTCCAGCAGAGCGTCCTTTTCATGCGAATCATCTTGCGAAAATTGGAATCGTTCATCTGAAAATCTAGACATTCTTTTCTATGTGGCGACGACATTCCCCGAGCAGAAGGAGATATGAGGTTGAGGGGGGCCCACAAGGTCTCCATGATCTCTCCATTAATGTGACCTATGCCTTCGATGAATTTTGACACATATCTCACATAGCAGCTGTCCTGATGTCCATGGATATGCCAAAGCCCAATTCCGGGAACTATGGTCAGCTCTGGAACCATTGTCAAGAATGGACCTTGATTGACCTGAATGCGAAGATGCTTGTTGTATTGACAGTTGATGTTGTAGAAGGTGACGGCCCTGGTGATGTCCCTGGTGATGCCTTTCATGTTGTATGCCACAGCTTCACATAGGGCATAATGCATGTTCATCTGTCTGAAATCAATTCGTGGTTACTTCCAGGCCATGGAATGGTGATTTTCACTGACCTCTTGCCTTTCTGAAAATCTACGATCAAGTGGGGAACAAAACAGCCGTGTCGGGTACAGGCCACCCCCCCCCCCCCCCTGATCCCGGTGGACTCCAGCTTGTGCCGAGCCACATTCGCTTGATTGACAGCTCAATGGTTGTTGCAGCTCGACCTTTCCAAAGTATCGTTAGCTACTGCAAGATGCCTCTGGTACCTGTCCTTTCCAACCATAAATCCAAATCCATCGGACAGCCATACTTCATCGTCCAGGTTGATTGGATGTAGGTGTTCCACTTTGAAGTTCCCATCCATCATGAACGACCTGGTGTATTTCCAGCTTGAAGTTGTTAATATCCTCATCCTTGATTGCATATTCATGATGACTCACTCATCAAGTGATTCTTCTGTCGTCAGAGATAGATTAATGCCGGGCTGAGGACATGCCAGGCAGAACAATGCTAGGTCCCCTGGCTTGCGGTGGTTGGAATGATGGCTGAAGCCATGCCACTTCATGTTCTTCAAGTGTTGCCACTGCCGGGAGACCCTCATGAGCTCTCAGTATCGATCCTGCCCACGTCCGCTGTGAGTATAAACATCCTTAGAAGGTATAGACTGTCCCCTACCAGCACGAGGTGTGGAAATGTGCTTGAGGTCACTTGCCGAAGCTTGTTGTAATAATTCATTGCCATTGCCGAGGTGCCACATTCAAGGTTGTCCAGCAGAAAATCATTGAGAACACTGAATGTGAACAAGGTCTTTGGCCTGTTGAAAGATGCAGCGAACAAGCCATGTCGAAACATTTGAATGTCCGGACTCATTGCATCGGGACAGCCGCAGCATCGCACCTCGAGCTGGTGGACTCTGGACCTGTTGACAATGACCATGGTATTGTCCTTCGGCTGGAACTCGGGGCCCGAGACAGATGGTAAATCTTCCGGTTCAATGTGGTCATTGGATTCATCTTCTTGAAACAAATCCCACTTATCCATGAGAACCGGACATTGCTTTCCCTCATGAAGAGGTGTATCATGAGTCTGACATGAGCAAGACAACTTTGCTCGAAGAACTGACCATTCCACTGACTGATCCAGTGGAAGGGATTGCATCGATGTTGACTCCTGCAGCAGCCCATGCAATACAGTGGCTCCCCAAGACAATCTTGACATTTGTATACCCCATCCTGATCACAGATGGAGCACCTCATATTTGCCGGGGGAGCTTCTCAATCGAGGAGGTGATGGAGATATGATTCCTGCTTTGGCAGCCATTGCCTAAGGTAATCGTTCTGACTCTGCATTGAATTCATTCAGCCATGTTTCGATCGACCATGCAACATCCTCAATGAACTTGCCATGGTTTTCGGCAGGTGCAAGGGCTCAAATGATCCTTCGTTGAGCTCATACGCATCATTGGCAATGTCTTCCCACAAAGGCGGAGCCTGAGCAGGATCGAGTGACAGTGATTCCGGGGGGGATGGAGGCATGCACCTGCTGGCACGTTTCATCGCGCTAGCCAGTGGGACCTTGACCCATGTCTTCCTACCTTTCCTGCCCCTTGCTTCCACCTTGTATGATTTCTGCACAGGGGTCGATTGAGTGATCTTCATCTTACTTCTGATGTCATTGGCTGAGGGTTTGCTGAGGGAGGTCAAACAATTTGTGATTCCATTATGGGGTCATCCAGTCTTGTTGTAGGCTTATTACAAATTCATTTGGATGCAAGGCAGTGCATCTGAAATTCATTGATAAACCAAGATGTAAGGTTTACTCAGATTTGAACTCAGGACAATTATTTCTTCAACGTTGCCTCCCATACGTGCATCCTGCACTCCATTTTACCATGGCTAGATTGGGGGATTCCATTCACTTCTCAGACAGAAGACATGGACGATGTTTACAACCGAGACAAAAGCTCATGGAACAAGAGATCTTAGAACTCAAAAACTACCTTCCTGAGTGGACTGCCGCAAAACAGCACGAGAAACCAGGAATATTCACAGCCATAGCTCGAGCGGCAAGGTTGTTTTCTCCAAAGCTTGACCATGGACAATGGAAAAAGAGGAAGCAGGTGATTCATCCATGCAGGTTGAAATTTCAATGTTTTCAACACTGATTGTTTGTTGTTCGCTCAGATCTATAAAACCCGGTTGTTCAAGAACAAGAAAAAGAAGGAAACAAAGGACATGATAAAGTATGGGAGGAAATGGACCCCTAGGATGGTGGTCTATCAGCAGAACAGAGATGACGTGCTCAAGAGGATTGAGGCGAAATACAGGGCGAAGCCAGGAGCTCCAGATATGTTCAAGTATTACCAGGTGACCGTCTGGAAGGTGATGGAAGAATTGTTGGATGAAGAGTTGGAGAAGGCAAAAGAAACAGCTGACGAATGGTCCAACAACATTCCTCCTCCCGAGATCCAAGTGCAAGTTGCCAGTAAGAAGGGACCCACATACATGGAGCACTTCTCCAACGAGATGTGGAGACAATGCAGGATGAGAGTGTTTGTATTGTCCGCCTGGAAGAATGAGCAGGGACAGGTGCTATTTGGAATGTAAGTGCATTGCAAATGTCATGCTAGACCTGATATCTCAACAGATTTCCTGTAGGCATGATGATAATGAGGCATTGGGAGATGCGGACAGCTTCATGAAGACAAAGGACTGGGAGGATATTGAACCAATGTGGCAGGAGTATGCACAAGCACAGTTCAGTGAGTGTTACAGCTATTGGGATGCGGAGGGTGACATTGATGGTTCCTGTGATAGGTGCCGAGGCAAGGGATGGTGAATGACAGGAGAAGTGACATTGAAAAAGACCTAGGAAACCAGCCTTCGAACTGGACGTGAATGGGGAAGGCATCCCATCGCTTCTGGACACTGTGCAAACAAAGCTCGAGGAGAAGAAGGCAATAGTGAGGGCATTCCTTACAACACACTACTGTGAGTCTGCATTGGCAACATCCTGCGAGAATCAGTTGACTGGATGTGCCTAGGACTCTGTTCTGGCATTGACAAGGCCGTTGTCCCTTGGAGTGCCATCATAGAATGTGAGGATGACTTTGTATCACCAATGTATCTTCCGAGCGGGGTGCATTTGAAGGACCCTTCAAAGTTGCAACACTCCAATGCAACCGCCTTGCTGAACTTCTGGTATGCTCACCAGGAGAATGGTGATGATCCGATCTTCCTGTTCAAAGCATGGAAGAACAAAGTCGGCAACATGATGAAACCAGTCTCGACCGGGGGATCAGACAAGTCATCATCCAACGAGTCTCATGCTTGCATCCCTCACTGGGGCATCATGATCAGGAGGCCACGGGATTCATCAACGAAATCTGAGATTGATGGTCAGCTGCACCATGCCCTCGCTGCCAATGCCCACCAGCTCTCCGAAGACAACTGAGTGTCATTGGAGGATGATAATCCAGGGGATGATGACTCTGGAATGGATGAGGACGGTGCTAGAACTGTCCATAAGGGGGTTCGGGTAGCGCCAGGACCACTGTCAGCCCGGATCATTGGGCAAGGAGTGCGACACCCGCTTCCGAAGCCTCACCTGGTGAGGCCAGCAAGGCCAGTGCAACTGGCTGCTGGTCCGCTGCTGGGGTCACAGATGGGAAATCTCCTCATGGGGTTGACTCGTGAAAACTGAGGAGTTGACTGTCAAGATGAAGCTGCAACTGAGGAGGAGACACATGCATCCCTGGTGCCAAAGGGAATCCAGCGACAGAAAAAGGTGATTGTGGGACCTCTGAGCAGAACTTGAAGTAAGACCATGGAAAAGTCATTAGATATTCCTAGGAGAGTCACTAGAGCGAGGGCAGGGAAGTAATTGCATCATACCACATCATGTCATTGTAGTCAGCCAAATCCTCCGAGAGTACTGAGTATCAAGAACAATGACTATGTAGTCTGTGCAATACACAGATCATCAACCATCAAATGCAGATGACCGAGTACTGATGATTGATTGCCAACAACTTAGCACCGCCGATCGAATACCAGTGGCCTATTACCGACGACTGACTGCCGACGACCGAGCACCAAATATTGACTGCTGAAGACTATGTACTGACGATCGACTGCCAAGGACCAAGGACCTCCAACCAAATACCAATGGCTGATTACCAATTACCGATGACCGACGATCAACTACCGACATCTGGTTGTTGGCAGTCAATGGTCGGTCGTCGGCAATCGGCCATCGGTACTTGGTCGTCGGCACTCAGTCGTCAGTAATCGGCCATTGGTATTCAGTCGGAGGTCCTTGGCCCTTGGCAGTCGATCTGCATAGGGCCGAACGCCAAATTACCGATGACTGATGATCGACTGATGAAACCCAGTGGCACACGGCAATTGGCATACAGGACTTCATTGTCAATGGTTGTTTTTGTGATCATTCGGGCTTGGGCATCGGTACTCGGTAACCGATGCTTGACGATCACACTTCAATGCACAGAGAATCGAGATCTCAGTTGTCTGTCAAAGTATTGTTATTCAATTGTGCCTGGTTGTGAAGTCAAAGTGAATCTCCTATTCCATGTGTCTGGTGGAAGTCACATATGATGATCATACACTAATATAAGGATTATGGTCGTGTGCTATCTACATCTTCGGGTATCCTACTTTGACCCTGGTGAATTTGGGTCTCGAACTGTTGAATCTGTGAATCTACGACCTTGAGCATTTCGATGCTTGCCCGCTCAGCCCTCTGCATCCTTTGAAGCTCCCAATCGGCCTGTGCCAGCTTGTCGGATGTCTCCACCCAAGCAGTTCAAAATGGTCGCTCTGCCTCCAGGAGCTGCAGTATGGACGGCTCTGGAAGGTTTCCATGAGTGGTTGTGAAGTTGGCCAGTCGGGTTTGAAGATTCTGCACTATGATAGCAATGAGAATGACGTGCTGACATAGACCTGCAATTAATACTCACATTCCATGTCATGATATGACCCAAAAGGCCAGAACTCCCGAACCATAGCTTGGAGCTCTTTGTTGTCGAGGGCCAGAGGTGCCAGAAGGCATTTGGCATTGGGTGAATTCACTGATGGAGTCAATCAGGTATGGAAGGCCTGGTGTTGCAAAGCACTTACAATATTCCATGGGTTCATTGGACATCTCTTCTGGCCCAAGGTACAGTGCCAGACTGATGGCTTGGCCCGGGGGATCACTGCTTGTGCGGTGGGATGGCTCGGGCACACCAATCCCACCATCGAAGTTGTCTTCCAGGCCAAGATATAGCTCCCGACTGATGTGCGGGGGCATGGATTCGTACTCCACCTCATCGTCCGGCCCAAGATACAAGTCATCTGATTGCATGTGTTAATGAATAGAAGCATGTAGGAAGACATCTTACCGAACATCGGCCATTCCTCCCTCATCCACAGATCTGTTGAGCTTGTTGACGATTGTGCTTGACTAGCGTCGTTGATGTCCATTTTGATGATGTCAGTCACCAGTGGTTCTGTGAATCGCACTGTGGGGTGAGAGTGCATTGGGCTTGATGGTCTAACTGATCCACAGATCTCACAATTTGATCCTTGAAATGAGTGGATTATTCGCAAACTCCTGAAATGTGAACATTGTGCAAATAATCCACAACAATGAAATATTTATTGACCGAAGTTTGATTGACTTGTGTGTTTGTAAAACTGCTTCCTTGCCAGCTGTTACTGCATTTCATAACTTTTATTATTGATCTCTATATCCTCGATGTCTAACCAAGCCAACAAGTCCATGGCTGATCTCAAGGAGATCACTAGCCAACTTCTTGCGATCGTCCGTGCTGCCCGGCAAATTCCCCCTGGTCCCAGTCACTTCGCTCTGGCGACACAGGCAAGTGAATTAGTGGTACATATATTACATCAAAGACATACTTTATATGATCGCTCATCTCCTATCAGGCAAGGGCAGTCCGGGATCATGGCGAGTCCACATGCATCCCTGGGCTCGTCTTGTCTTGCTCAAGAGAGTTGATCTGGACCTGCAACTGTTCTCCACAGGAGGCCCCAAACTGGTGCAGCATTGGCCATGACGACCCTTGACTCATGCGGCACAGCTGGCACAGCAAGGCCCTTGCCTGGCAAGCCTTGGGCGACCACTCATTCAATCTCGCACATGAGGTTGATGGTAGTGCCACCGACAATGCTCCCAGTCCCTCGACAAGTGTGGATGGTGATGCTTTGGAGAAGGGGAAAGGGAAGGCGAGGGAAGTGGAGCTGGAGCCGGAGAAGAAGAAGGAGATGGAGAAGCCGAAGGAAGAGCAGGAGAAGCCGCACAGGAAGCAGCCTTTCTCCCGGATGTCGAAGCCACTCCCAAAGTCGGCAATGAAGACGCCGAAGAGGGGGAAGTTGGGGCAGGAGCGGAAATTGAGAGAATCAGTGGATTCATCGGATGAGGAGGAGGAAGAGGACAGGTTGTCAAAGGTACACTTTGTTTTTTCCGTGTTGACCTTTACTCATGCAGTGGTGTAGCCCCGTTCCAACACATCCTCTGTGATTGTGACTCGGCGGGTTTCCGCCACCCAACCATCAAGGCCGTCTGGGCCTCCCCGATCCCTGGGCTCTCTGAAGAAGGCCGCCTTCGGCCCTGGAATGGTAAGCTAGACTTGTTGCCTTGGGTGCCTAATACTAACATTTAGCAGACACCTCTGCTCATGCACCCTGATGTCCCCGAGTTGTCTCAAGTGACTTCCGAGAGCCCGAGGGATGTGCCCCCAGTTGTGGACGCCAGGGCCATTCTCATTCCCAGACTGGTGAGTACCACCAAGATATTTTTCGCTGTCCCGACTGACTGACCATCCCCCACAGAACAACCCATGCAGGTTTTGCACGCAGTGTGAGCTGCCGTGCACCACCAGATTCGATAAGCAAAAGGGCACGGCCCTTATGTCATGTATCCTGTGCACGACGAAGAAAGTGAAGTGCATCTCGGCACGTCTCAGGACCCTTGCCGCCACCACATGAGGGTGGTCTACCGAGTGGACAAGGGCCTCATTGACAGGCTCGTCGACCTCCCAGTCAAAGGTGTGGACCCGAAGTCAATCCCGGGGGCCGTCAGTAGCTCTGAGTGAGCCTCGGGGCAACCCCCCCAAGCCACGGTCCCAGGGCCAAAGCAAGCCCACAGGCTCGGTGACAATGCCTGTCCCCCCTGCAGCCAGTAAGTAACTTCAATTAATGCAACATTTGCTGTTATTGATTTAATTCCAGTCATTGCATCATCGAGTTCGGCTGCCCCCCATGCAGCCCAGGACCTCCCGATCCTGGACCTCCACTGGATGTCAATCGCATCGCAGCTCTGGAGGCTCGTGCCTCTGAACAGGAGAGCACAATCAATACGCTCCGAAGGCTGCATGAGAGCCTTTGACATCAGATCATGCACCGACATCCGTCATTCCCCCTCCCGGAGTCTCCTCCCGCCGAACCCTCCTGTCTACTCATGGATCAAGCCGCTCCCAGGTCACAGTCCCCGTCCACTTGGCACTGCTGCCACTCATCAACTTTGGCATCAACTCAACAGGCGAGGAAGGCTCCACCATTGTTGCCCTGGTAATGAAGCCAACAAACCCACCCTCTCAGACTGAAGCGGCGTTGGACCCTGCTACTGCCATTGCATTGACAGTACCCGTCGATGCAGTTCACAGCCCAGCCGATGATGGCGCCTCCACCTTCACATCAGCCTTCGCACTTCCGGCCCCCCCGGCAATGAACCCCACCCCATTGGAGACTCCCGAGGATGGCCTGAGCGCCGGTGAGATTGTTGAGTGTGAGTCGCCCCTCAACCTTCTTCCAGAATATGATTCTGGTGATGAGCAGGATGACGTGATGGAAATGTAGATATACCACGATCCATTGTACTATACTGTGAATATTGTGAATTATTTGTACCATAGAATTGTAGAGTACTCAGCAATCAGTACAGCATACCCACCATTGTGCAAACCTCTGAGCCCCGCACATGTAGCAAAGAGTCCCAAGGACCAAGTCCCAAGCATATTGGTGCTCAGTACTCGGTCTTTGCCTTTCGGCTTTTGATCCTTGGCCCTCCGACCTTGATACCCGATGTTCGTTGGCACTTAGTCCTTGGTGCTCAGTACTTGGTTCGGCTCTCGGTACATGTACTCGGTACTCGATACTCAGTGCCCGGTTCGCAATCCTCCCAGATCCTCAGTACTCAGTCCTCAGCTCTTGCTCCTCGGTCCTCGGTACTCAATACTCAGTGCCTGGGCCACCATCCCCAACCCTCGGTACTCGGTACTCAATTCTCAGTACTCACCACCCGGGTTGCAGTTTGCCATTCTCGATCCTCGGTACTCAGTTCTGAGGTCTCAGTACTTTGTCCTTCAGTACTTGATCCTCGCTGCCCGGGTTGCCATCCCCGATCCTCGGTACTCAGTACTTGGTACTCGGTGCTCCGTTTGCCATACTCGATACTCATTTATATGATGGTTCTTGCTACTCAATCCTCCATCCTCAATAATCATTGATGCACCTACACCATCTAACCGATCGGTCTGATTTACCACCACCTCAACCCATCCATCCTCACAGCATTCATTCATTTCAGTCCACCCATACATACTTTACACATCCACCTCGGCATACCGGTGTATACAATATTCATTCACCTCAACCCACCTGTTCATCTCATATACATATGAGATCCATCTATCTCGGCCCATCCGTCTATATGATATATGTCTTACCTTGGCCCACCCATATACGATATACATTGATCTCAGCCCAATGGTACATATGATGTTCATCTCCCTTGGCCCATCCATCCATATGATATGCATCTCTCTCGGCCCACCCATCTGCAAGATATACATCTACCTCAGCCCATCCGTCCATATGATATACCACTATCCCGGCCCATCTGTCTATATGATACATTTATCTTGCCACATCCATCCATATGATTCACATCCACCTTGGCCCATCCATCCATATAATATACTAATACCTCAGCCCACTCATCTTTATGATCCATCTCCCTTGGCCAACTTGTCTACTGTATTCTACTCTAGATATTATGTAGATGGGCCCACCCATCTCCATTGGGAATAATTTGCCTCTCGGCCCACCCATCTTCAATGAGGATATTATTACATTGGCCCATGGTCCACTAACCCATCTAAGACGGTGTATTATGTCCCTTGGCTGGCCCGTCTAAGATGGAGTTTGGTCACTGTAGTATGTGACAGATTCGCATTGGTGCATTTGTACCAGATATGTCCAAGCAACAATAATAGTGTGGGTAGTGTCATGGAAGAATATTTGCAGTGGCTTGCTATGATCATGATTCACATTCAAGTTGTTACGATCTTGAGATCATTAACGCTAATTGAGCGGAAAGATGTTGGGTGCAACATCTTGAGAGGTAGTGCCTCAACCAATCATATAGCATATAAAATTCATATTAAAGTCCTACTACACAGAAAACATGTCTCTGGAGCTTGGTAAAGCCGATTTTACGGCTACAAAGAGGTGAGCATTGAAGACCTTATGACCCCGCTTCAGGCCAGATATAACAATGCAGTGTTTAGGATGCACAGTCGCCTCACTTTGCGTTAATTGTGGTATAGTACTAAGTGGTTCATTGAATTGTAAGTGTTCTCACTCGCTCAGATGTGATTTTTATGCAACCATTCACGAACCAAGGCTCCTGCTGTCCTCAAATACTCAATGATCATCCAACTCATGGTCTATTGACTTGTCAGCTTCCTGCTTGAAGGGTTTTTTGCCCTCAAACCACATAAGGATCAGGGAGAACATGTTCAATTTGTTAGTTGCAGCATTAACTTGAGTCTTCCCAGCATCTAACTACTATTCAGTGTTTCTGTGGCAGGGTACTATATCCGGAACTCCGCAAGTTTAACCATGCCAAGGGCAAGTGTGTTCAGGCATCAGCCATTCCAAGCCATGCTTGGTCACCAATTCAAGTAGGTTGTTATGTTTATCGTGTACCATACTCAACATTGTTCTGTGCATGCTTTCGTGAGGGTTGTAGACAAGTATGAATTCTATATCACGGAACAGGTATTCTAACTACAAGTGTGTGTACATAGTGTCTGAAAGCCATCATGTCCTCCTCATGCATCCCTGGTCTATGAGCTCCCCAAAAGATGGCTGCAATTGCTGCTAGGACCCAGAGACCACAGTTGTAGCCATTTGTTTGCAGAGGTTTGACTATTAGTGGGCAGGCCACCCAGCCTTGAAGATCAATTTTATGCGAGCCATAGTGTTGGTGAGCAACGGATGATAGACGTGCAATAAGATTCATGATGTCCTGTTATCGGATCATTGTTAGTTTAACAGAGGATGACTGAAATTACCACTCACCTTCATGTTGTTTTTCCACAGCTGTCAAAGAGGTGAAGTTCCTTAGTTTGAATATAGATTGCACAAAATACCCAGTGTACAACTGGCAAGGGGTGATGAATGGGTAAAATCCAAATATCTTTCTCCCAAAACATTGTCCACGAAGTATTCTGCCACAGTATCTCATCCAATGCATTGTATTGGATACGAGGGAGATCGTGCGTGGAGAGAACAGCACAGGGCTGCACATCTGAGGTTGTGAGTATTTCGGAGTATAGCAGTGCCGCGCAGCCATTCACACATGTATCATTAAGACAGGCAGTGGGCTGTGCCAAGAAAGACTGGTCCCTTGGATCGAATACTTGACTTGGAAACCCATCTTGTGTTGGTCGTACCCGGGTCAGGGGACCACATGCAGTTGATACTATGGGGCAATCCTCTGGGCAAGGAACTTTGAAAGGATCCATGCATATATTCTATGACATTTGATAAATGCAGGTACATATCAAGAGATGGGAACATACCTCTGGCAGTGTCTAAGTAATCGTGAATTGAGGTTCTTCCACAGCTTCGTCATGTTTGTCATCGCTTACAGTACCATTGGGCAAAATGTCCATGAGTGCCACTTCTTCAACAACTTCTTCCAATGTGGGTGCAAGGTATTTGTCAGTGTCATCCTCAGGGGAGGGATCAGCAAGTGTCAATGAAGTTGGTACAAGTTGGTAGAGGCCATTTTCCAATAGTCCCTTGATCTCAGATAGATTGATCATGAGATTGACTGCTGCTGTGGCATTGCTGACGAAGTGAATAGAAGATGCAAGTGGGGTAACCCATTTAGTTTGCAGCTGGAGGACGTGATCCTGCTGTTGCTGCAGGGGGAATGTGAACATGCAATCTTGTAGGATCAGTGCTACTCTTGAATATACTAGTATATTGAACACCTTACTTGCGGGAGATCATAAGGAAAGTTCTAGTGCAGCCAGCTCATCTCTGAACCACCGACAAAGGTTATTTGCCTTGAGCCCAAGGCGGTGGTGTTCTTCATGGCATTGTTCTCATTTGAGCAATGCTCATATATCATCTCTCACATTGGTATCTTGCATCCAATGGGGGACATCTCCTACTGACAGAGTAATCCAGACGTCCTCCATCAATGTTTGATCATTTCAAAGGTCAGCAAGTTTCATAGGCAGAGCAGCAGGAAGTGGGACACCCCAAGACGGGTCATAGAGATTCTCCAGACGCTTGCAGTATGAATTAAATTTGTGGATTGCAGTCATTAAGGCAGGCTAGCACTTCACAATTGCTTTACATGTTTGTTGATGTAGCTTGGTGCCTGTTAGAATGAGTCAGAATTCCAATGTGGCAATGCAGAAGTATTTGACATCACCAAGGGCCTGGTTTGCACTGCCGACTGCATAGTCAAGTTTGTCCCACTCAAAAAAGCTGCCTATGGCTCGTTTGTGGATATTTATTTTCAGGTTGTGGGCCATGAGTAGTGTTCAAACAAAATCTAAGTTGACACCTTGCAGCTCCGGAAACCTGTCATGGACATTTAGGGAGGAATACAATACTTTGACCTTGTTCATCAATTTGTCATGGCTGTGCTCGAGGCTCTCCAGAGCATCTAGTGTCTCCTCAGTAACTGAACCCTTCTCTATCACAGTGCGTGTGGCTTGCAAGGCTTTATCAGAAGCATCTAGATCAGACTGTAGAGCAAGGACAACATCAAGTTCTTTCTTCAGTCATGCAGGAGCATCTGTAAATTGTGATATGCAATGTTAGTTGTGATTCTGAGCAAGTGACATGATGTACGGGCACAAATAGAGAGTTGTGACTTCTTCTGATCCTCACACTGAGTCTGAAGGTCATCAGCTTTGATGCTGCATTGTGTCAGCACTTCTTTGGCTGCTGTGCCCTGAGCATTAACACCTCGTTTGAGCCTCCATTTGATCCAATCACTGAGATCTACTTGCATCTCCAGACCAATGGCACAAGCTTTTCGGTCTATCAACCAAAGGTGCCTTTGTCGCTATGTAGTGCATGATTATAAATAAAGGATCATTTGAATACTGCCAGCACATACCGATGATGAACATTGAATTCCAATCAACTTGACAAACCTGGACCAAAGTCTCTCTGTACCCTCACTGTCAGATAGACCAAGGCCAGTGCTCATCTGAGGGTTGTATTCGAGCTGACATGCCCACTCATGGCAGTATGCGTGCATGGCAGCGATCGCAAATCAAAGATGAGAAGTCACAGTTACTATCATCCTCTTGATGTTGAGGTCTCCGAGCCTCATAGACCCACTCTGGACACATTTGTACTATCACCTCAGTCCTGTCATTCAACCTCAGTCTGCAATATGTCATACCACTGAACACCTTGGCTAAGGCCCCATTTGAATGGTTCTTGAATGACTTGCCCCTGTGGTGCAATGAGTTAGGGTTGCAAAAGAGTGATAAATTAAAAATCACATCTGCATTGATCATCTGAAAACATCTGTGGGCATAATGGGTTTTGAGGGCAGAGGCAAGAGCAAGGATAGCATTGCATGAGTGCTCAAATAGGGCACAATAGAATGTGAGGAGATTGACAGAAATGGCCATGCATGGTTGAGAAGGTGCAGTGGGGAAAAGCCCATGGTGAACAAGGACTTGCGCAAGTGTGGAAAATTTGCAGGCCAATACATCGATAGAATTGAAACCTGCAACTGTCAGTTGGAGTGACATGTGAGGAATGAACTACTTATGGTCAAAAAAGATGCAAATAACAGAGAAACATCTTTATGCACAAGCCTGGCTTGCATAGGCAGATATGATAGAATGGGGTGAAGTGAGAGGCTGCCCATGGGTTTGTGCAGAATACTTCAGGTGCGCATCCACTAAGGTGGGAATAAGAGTTTTCCAGGCACTATAGAGGTTGTAGGCCATCTTGTCTGGTAAGAGATGGCGCCCTGTACCCTCGCACACCACTGCTGGAGAGCAAGGTACTTGTTGGTCATGTTGTAGTCTTCATCATAAGTATAAGTTGCGGCCTCGTCATCACTTGTTGGGGCTTCAGAATGAACAGCTGCAGAACTAGAACCAGGGGTGTCAGTTTTGAATTCTCGAGGGTTCATTAGGGTGGCCATTTGGTCAAGGAGGCACTTGCATTGCAAACTAATGCCTGGAACGTGAACCAAAGATTGAGTTTTTTTTTTTTGGGTTTCAAGCTTTCTTGGGGCTAATGAAGTGGTGCCCTAGCCCTATAGATGTTGGCTGATTGCCACATGCAGAGTGGGTGGGCGCCATAATGACGGTTGTAGCGTAGAAGAAAAGACAAGAGGAAAAGGAAAAGGACTTAGGCCCTAGAGAGTGAAAGAGAGGGTCTGCTAAGTCATTTGGCTGGTGTGCCATGGACTCTACCCAGATGTTCAGACAGGGTGTTGAAGAGGATTAGTTTGAGTGTTTAGAGGATGTACTGCAGAGGATCCAGGAAGGGCGGTGATGATCCAGGTAGTGCCATGAGGATCCAGCAAGGTCCCGAAGAGCATTTTAGGGATATTTGGTAGGTGCTATATTTAAAACAACCAAGAGGTTGGGTCTAAGAGATTGGTTGTGCCTAACATAATAACATGGTCTCATAGACTTTTATTGATACCAAAAACTGATGCCTGAGGTGTACCTGTTCAAGTCCTAAGTTACGTTAACAAAGTCAACTCCACTTCCTGTAATGAGTCACAAACATTACATATTTTGAACTCCATTCCTAAACTAGCTATCTACTACAGCTGCCATTGAAGAGGACTGATCACCCTCTGACCCTCTGACCCTTCTACTTCCCTTCAATTACAATCCAAAAGCCAGAATGTTGACAAACTCTATTGCTGCACCAGGTGCCTTTCCCCATAGTTCTCCAACTCCTATGAGTGGATTGAGCCTAGTGATGTTCCTGCCTGGTGTGGGTACAACAAGTGCAGTGGAGAGAAATCGATCTACTACACAGTTGGGTCTTTGCTGCCTACTGCCTCACTTGAGAACAAGCATGTTCGACCCTAAAGGGGATTGCTACTGGGGAGTACTAGTCTCTGTCTAAACGACCCTAATCAACCCTACCGCAAGTAGGATGAGGATCCGCAAAAATGCGGAACAAGCAGAACAAGCGGAACTCGCGTGGAACAAGCGGAACCTGAGTGGAACTCAAGCGGAATGGAAAGGAATGAAACGGAACCCAAACAGATAAAACGCGGAATGTACTGATTCATCAGAACTTGCAGGCGAAGTCGAAGGAAGTATATCACGAGGTTAGATTGATAGTGGGCATAAGTCAAAGTGGTCCTCTAGTAAGGTGAAGGGAAAGTGGGAAGGTAAAAGATGGGATTCAATAAAAAACACCCCAAGCCCTGAGTACCACTACTTAAAGGGAAGATTATTTTCAAGGAACACTGAGGTACATGTAGTAAACTTCTCAGGAAGCGGAAGTGAAGGCAGGCAATGCACATGGGTGCAATACTCTGGAATAGGGGTCCGTGCCATAAGGGCATGTGTCAGTGTGATCCGGATAACGTTAGGAACAACAGGAAGAGAGATACAGGGTACCAATGGACCTGGAAGGATGGGGACAGGACATGCGAAGGTTGTCTGACGATGCATGGGAATATTGGATAGTGCGGGCGGGTTCTGAAGGATGCGTGGGAATGTGGAACCCATCGGACAATGCACAGGAAATGCAGAATGTGCGGAATATGCAGAACTGAGATGAGATGATGCAGAAAGGACGGGGTTTTACACCTACAGTGGGGGAATTCCCCACACCGGCTTGGCTCGAAAGCTGCGGCTTTGGCCTGGCTTCAGATGGCTTGGGCTTGCAAAAAATCCAGGCTGGGCCAAAGCCGCCAGTGATGGCTGGCTTTGGCTTGGCTCTGGCCTGAGCTGCAGCCCAAGTACTGTGTTCAACAAACCATCGCTATCTTCCAGCATTCAGCCGTGCTTTTTTGTGTCAACTTATCAGTAGAAGCCCATTGTCAGCCCCCATGCAATACAACAAAATCAGAACCAACCTAGGACCAGTAACTTGCACAAGCTCCAGTATGCTGAATATAGACCCATCTGATGGGTGGTGGGTGAGGAAGTTTGAAGATTGAAGAGGAATTGTGAGGGGCAGTTGTGTTGGGGTAGTAGGTGTCACAGCACGAGGCTGATTTGAGGATGGGTGCCTTGAGTGGGAGGTTTGGACTGGTGAAGACAATGAAAGCAAGTCCAGTATTTGGGATGATCCTAAGGATGGACGGAACACACTGATGGTGAGCCTTCCATTTACAAAAGTGGGCGGGCTGTGCTCCATAAGACAGAGAGTGACTTGCCAGGGCCCACTTCCTGCAGTGCAAGTGGACAGAGAACTAGATGAGGGAGAAGGTAAGGGAGAGGTGAAGAAGGTGAGTGACCATATGTGCCCTGTGAGAAGGGGTGTAAGGATGGAAGACCAAAATGAGATGATGCACTCATCTCAAGCAATAAACTCTATGCCAACCACACCAGCTACGCACATTCATTTTTGCCAGAGACAAATGTCGATAGATGCGCTGAATGCTGCTTTGCCATCAGCCTCATGGATCTTAATGTCATCTGCAGATGTGGTGCCTAGAATGAGGGCATCTGAGCTCTCTCCTGCATCAATAGACTACAAAGAAGGTAAAATTGGGGACTCACCTGGTCTGAGAGTGGTTAGAAATGGAAGCTCTCCTCTGTGAAGCTTCCCAAACAAGACCTGATCGCCAATCACGAGACATGCAAGACGGATGTCTGTGATGCATGCATGGTTGATGCAAAGCACTGAGCTTGATGTGACCGAGTGCTTATTTGGATCCAAAGCCTTTGCCAAACAACCGTTGCTGCCAGTGATGTTTACAAGGCTTGTTGCTCAGACTTGCTGATATCTCACTCTTGCTTTCACTGGGAATGAAATACTGATCATGGTGATAATTCAAACAATCAGACAGTCAGAGGGTGGAGCCCCCGACTAGCAATCAGCTATCCACAAACTTCAGTACACCACCTAACACCTGTAGCAAAAATGACTTACTCATGGCACCACTCCTTATGAGTGAAGACAGTGGAGGCTCCACGATGATGAGCATTAGTCCTTTACTTGAGAGCGGTGTTGGACAATGCTACTTGCAACCAGAACAGCCTGTAACTAGTACAATAGACCCTAAATCTAATGTCCATCATTACTCCCCACACTATCTGAGAAAATGAACTGGGCAGACCTCCTTAATGATGATGAATTAGCAGACATTCCTGAATTCCCGATCCTCAGCCCAATAATAGAGCCTAACATGGCCAAGTCATCCCCAAGGATCCCTTTTGCTATGAAGGGAAAATCTGCTGATCCAGGAAATAGTAACAGAGACACAAAAGATGACCCAAATGAATGGTATGACCAATGGACAGCATCAGGAGATGAGCTACCTGATACCAATGGACCAAATAACAGTGGTCACCAGGTGGCAACAGAAGACTGATACCTAGGATCGAGCAGACCCCTCAATAGAACTAACAATGATTCATGTAAACAATTTAGCATCATTGATGAATTGCAAGATTGAGTCCATGAACTTGAGAAACTAGTCATCCAAAGCCAAATACATGAGGAAGAGGCTCGCAAATTAGTTATAGAAGCTCACCATACTCCTGTCATCAGCACCCCAGTGAGCAACCACCTGAAACTGACCATCAAAAGTGACTTGGGACACTCAAGGTACCCATTACAGGCCCCTCCCAAGAGCAGGACCAAGACAACCACTCCTACCAACCCTATAAATCCAAGGTATCAATGCACATCATCTGTACTCCCCCAGACCAGCTCAGTAAAATGAGCAATGATGGGAACTGGACTATTAGATATCGACCCAAATCCCAGTGACCCCTTGTCTGATTCATCATGTGACAACAAGCATTCATCAACTAAATCATGCTTGAGTGAAGGAGCCCCCACAATCAGGCGTCCTTCCAGCTGCTATAGCAAGAGCTGACACACCTCCTCGTCACATAAGAACAGGAGTAGTTCCCCCCATGGACCTCACTTAATGAATGACTTTGGTGCTGATTTCCTCACCCTTGAACCTGAGTCAGACCATGACAGTGACTTGGTAGAGACTAAACACAGCAAATGCACTGCCCATAGAGAATATTGCACAAACTGAACCTACTAAGATATCGGCAAAGATTCATCAAAAATGAACTCCCTTTTACCTATACAGGTGAAGCCAATGCAACCACCTTTAAGAAGTGGGTTAGAGAAGTCCATGACTGAAAGGACAGAGCCCACCTCACCACTAATCAGAGGCTTCACATGCTTGGGAAATACCTTAGTGGGCAGGCCTATAGGTTCTATGAGCGTGATATCCTAGACTTACAGAAAAGTTATTTACTTACCAAGTTTTCAAACAGCTATTTGACTATGTCTTCCTGCCAGACTTCAGGATGCAACAATGTCAGAGATTCATTGAATGTTGTCAAGAACCTAAGTAATCTATATGAGATTACTTATAAAGACTGTGGAACCTAGTGGACACCACTGGTGACATTAACGATCGTGAAATGGTGAGACAATTCTGGATGAATTGTCAGCCATACCTTAAGGTGTCCCTAGTAGACAAAGGGTATGAACCAAATACCATGAGTATCAATGTCATAGAAAAGAAGGCACTACGCACTGAGTGAGCCTTTCTAGAGAATTCCGAGGATCCTAATATCCTCCTGGCAATTAATCCTACACTTGCCACTAGCCTGGCCCACCATAATGCTAGAAGCAGGGACAGTCAGTGCCATTTGAAACAATCTAACTTACAACCAAGCACAAGTGTCCTGTTGTCCAACATGGTCCAGAATCACCCCAATGACAACAGTAAGAGATGGGATCGACCATGCCTTGAGTTGTGCACAGAACAACACTCAACCCATGGAGAATGCCCTAAAAGGAGCCCTGAGACCTTGCAACACCTAAGAGACAACAATCAATGTTTCAAATACAAACAGACAGGCCACCTAGCTAAAGACTGCCCTAGGAGGCATAGACTCCCCTTCAGACCGACAACTAAGATATCCTCACTCCAGGCAAGCGTGGTAGGAGTGTCTGGCATTGACATTTGTAATGCCGCAATAAAGGAAGGCATTGCTAGCAGGCTATATGGCATGGCCATCTGCTTCTCAGAAACCCCTAAACTCAATGCAGTCAAACACCTCATTGTAGTGCAACAAGCATTAGTGTCTCTGAGGTCCTCTGTTCCACTCCTGACAGATTAGCTCATTAGACCTGCCTACAATCTATATGATCATGATCATTTTAGCTTAATGAACTGGGGAGGTCCAGAGATGTACCTCCTCCATAACAAACACAATGAGGACTCATACATCATCTATTACTCTCAGCTGTGCAATCCTGCATTCAATCCAGTGTCCTGGCTAGCAGACATCAAACAATCTATAGTCATCTATAACAAGTCTAGACAGTGCAAAATCTGAAGCGATCACAAGTCTAGACTATACTGTAACACATTAACCTATACTATACTATAACACAATAACAATTACAAGTCTAGACTATACTATGACACCAACGCAGACATGTATTGTGTGGCCTAAATTTGGAAAGAAAAGTCCACAGTTAGTGACTCTCCTGTCACACTTTCATTCATGTCATTGATCCTCTGGTTTGGGCAAATTTAGACTTGTCAGAGTACAGTACACCACTTAGCCACTTTCAGGTATTTCCATCGGAGTCTCATTCATCTCATTCACTACTTAAGTTTGAAATCTTCTTCTCTTCTTCAATTTTTACCTCTTGCTTTCATGTTCCTTTGAATATAGGGTACTTCATGTATACTTGTATTACATATTGTAGATTCAGGCAAGCAAAAGGCATAACACTCACATATGTGTGCCCAAAGATAAACATGTTCTGCATTAGCACTCAACAAAATATGATGGTACTTGTGCCCAACTACTCAATTACATCATACTGAGTTCGAGTTTACAATCACTGTTTTTCTGATCTATAGTACAAGGACATGGGCTACTAATTTTACATTCATTCAATATTTTGGTTAACTCTCTGCAAAGTCCCCTGGCATTGTAGCAGGATATCCTAATCTTCATGAGAAGGGACTTGAAAGGTGTGTGGAAGGTATGTTAACTTATCTGTCAAATATTCACCCACTAGAGCTGATAGTTTAGTGCTTAGTGTAGCCCCAAGGGACTGCAACCCATGTTTCACTTTGGGGATGAAATTTTTGACTCCATCCAAAATTTGTTGCACTATAGCAGGTGAGATAAAATATTCCATTGAAAGCTCCTATGGCAGTGTCATTCACACTGATCAGCATAGAATGAATGATCTGCATTACAATTTGGTTTTCCACCTCAGCATTCTGTTCTCCATTATAATGCACTTCAGGCAGCACAATGTCCTTGACATCAACGCCCACCATTGCAGTGTGGAGCACTATGTACATGCACTCCTGTAACTGTTCAGTAACAAGATGCTTCCTTCTACAGTGATGGTCTATGTACTTGTTCATGCCTTTGTGCAGGCCGTGGATAAGGTTTCTTTTCTTTGGTGTCTGGTAACTGGAGTGATAAGTTCCCAGAACAATGGTGAAGGGTCCAACCTTGGAAATAAAGTAAGTTTTGGCTTTTGTTGGTGACAAGTGAGACTAATTACTTCATCATCTGCCATAAGGGTATCTGCACAACCGTATGTCCCATTACCTGCACTGGTGGGCAGGTCAATATCCATAGCAGATACACATCCTGAAGATGTTCAATACCCAATTATATGCAAGTGCTGTACTCACTTCATCTGAGCTTTGCTGAAGTTCATGCTCATAGGACATTAATGAGGCATTTATTCCCCATTGCAGTTCCTGTATGTTGTATGCCTGCAAATTTCCCCTGAGCACGCGTGCTGATGGTGTGCCATACAGATTGAATCATGTTTTTACAGTGCTAACCCTGCGAGAAGTTAATTTGGATGTCATGACTGTGATGTAATCAGCTGATTTCATGAATTTAAAGTATGTCTGGGACTCCATTTTGCAATCACAATAGAGGTTGCACCTGATCAACTCTTCAGATGGCAATGTCCAAATCTATGAAAGAATTGATAATGTAGGTGTGATGGTAGTAGGATATTTAGGTCACTGATAATGCTTCATCTCATCAGGCACTTTTCAAATTTTGCAGTACTACCATGGGTCACTCGGGTCTGGTAGAGTCACTTGCTTGGGATCCTGTCCATCATTGACTGGTGAGTGCTGGTGACAATTGGCCCCACATTTGGAACTTCACACCAGACAGTGCATTGTCAAATAATCAGTACTTGTGCTGTATTGACTGTGTTAGAAACCCTCGCTTCCATCACCTTGAAGCTTGAGAAGCAGCTGTATGTGGTGTGCACGGTACACTTCTATGACAATGGTACTTCACTACTAGTATCATTTCTGGAAAGCAGTGAAATGTACATGTACCACAACAATTTTAATTTTATTCTGACCATGACTCTAGTTTCTGCTATTCCATTGAACCCTGGGATTTAAAATGGCACAAGAAAGTCCAGGGAAGGATGTAAGTTGGGTGTTCACTCTGTGCTCACAATTATTTACTCTTACACTGTAGTGGGAATACCACCCTTGAGAGAAATTTCCTCCTTGTAAGTAATCTTAAAGACAGGGTAGACAAATATTCTATGCCTACCCTCCAATGTGTCCAGTCTTACAGCCATATGATCCTGCAGAATGTGCCTTTGCAAATCTCTGTTGCTCAACAAGCAGGGCTCATTTTCATTAGGGGTGATAATGGTGCATACCAAGATCAGTTGGAGCATGGCAATTGGGGCAATCAGATTATACCTGTAGCAGTAAGTACAGTTCTAGCATACATTTCTCTTTCTAACAAGGGGTAGTTGCATGAAGGGTGCACTTGGTGCACCGTTGTTACTGGCAGCTGCTTTAATGGACACAGTAGCATGAAGGTCTGGGTGGAGGGCAAATTGGTACGTACTGTTGGGAGGACAATGAGATGTATACCTCACCCTCAGCAGGATCTTCACCTACCTCCCAGCTGCTTTGGTTTGCCATTATCTGCATGCTTGTGAGCATGGTAATACACACCCTCCAGTCAGGCACATTTTCAGAACTTTTCCTATTACTTCAAGGCAGTGTGACATGTGTCATTAGGGCTTTGTAAATGTATACACTTGATGTTTACAATATGTACTAATAGGTCTACAATCATTTACAATCATTTACAATATCCCTAAACCAGCACAATCTGCTACCTCTGATGACAGCTGGTCATGCACCAAAGTCCTACAGGGTAGGAGGTTAGTACCGGGGTAAGACCTCTATAATGGCAGAGAATTCACCCTGTTCATTGCCTTTAGGACCAATTCAGTTCCCAAAGGCATTGAAATAGCATGGTAAATTTTACTCCTACACACCAGTACAATATCAAGCTGGCTGTTAAAAGTGCAGCTCCATATCTGTGCACCAAAGTTGCAGTAGCATAGAAAGGGGTCTTGGTACCCCACAGCTACAGGTAAGTAACATCTGACCATGATGTAGTAAACCTGCTTGTGATCCTCCTCCACAGAAAACATGTGTTCAATAACACCCGGTACAATTTTCGCTAATGTGTTCTTGAAGAACACACAACTATCCGCCCATGAATAGTTGCAACTGCAATATTGCAATCCTGCTATGTTCAGCCATTTATACTCAGTGATGATGTGGTCATTTCCATGCAGTTGAGTCTTGCCTTTTGCCATGTGTGTTGGACAACTGCTGAAATAGGGGTCTTGATGATATTGGCTTCAACATGTAACACATATGGAATTGGTTCTGTTGCTGTGTGCAGGATGCCAGTGTCTGTCCGAAATGCTCCTTCTGCAAATGGAGCGCACCATTGCTGCAGGATGTCAGCTGCTTTGTTGAGGACATCAGGTGCGCCAGGTTCTTGAAGCATTGCCTTGACATGTGCAGCTGCACAGAATGTCTCTAACATAGTTCTGTCAAACTCCCCTGAAGAACCGTATTTAATATGTTTCCCCGTATTTTCATTTGTGCTCACCAATCTTGTAGTTCATATTTATTTTCTGCAGGCCTCCAATGATCCTCTCAAAGGGAAACATTCACCAGCCATGCATAGATCTGTATCTTAGAAGAAACTCGTGAAGGTGGAGGGAGGAGTGGTGGTTGAGGCAGAAAGAATGGCCTGGAAAAATGTCTTGGATGCACTCCAGGTAGGCCTTCATGTATATGATGTACTGCTGAGTGTGGTGTGTCAATGTTACATGTGATGTTCCCCATTGGCTTGCCATTGCCAGCAGCATTGTGCTATGAGCTAACTTCTGCCTCTGTTTTCCATTTTCATCACCAGGCTTCATATAATCCATTGTGGGGAATGTCCCCACTGTAGGCCCGTATCCCGTATAATTCCCAAGCCTTACCACCATCTTCCCGTGCATTCCACTACTATTCCGCTACCCATCCGCGTCTTACCCGACCCATCCAATACACGGAACCAAGTGGAACCCAGCGGAACAATTGCGTACCACACGCACCATATTCCTTTAGCCTTTGAAACGTCCTCTCCCGTCCTGTCCCCGTCCTTCCATCCTCACTGGTGAGTACATATGTGTTACAATACTTATACGGATCTTTCCGCTACTCGGGACCGGTTCCTTATCTCACAGCCTCACCCGGTTGTAGCATTGTGCATTTCAGAACCTCTTCCTATATAGGTAGCAATAGATGGGATCTTAGTTTTTTAGCTTCTGATAGACTTGACTCCACTTCCACTTACAGAGTACTTCCCAGTACTCCACTCACTGTCTAAAATATCTTCCCAAATCTATTCCTGATCTCATCGCAATGTTCCCGCCTCCGTGAGTTCTGCTCAAAATGCCTGACATCAGATCTGATGACTTGGAGCAAGTACCAGACACAAGCCTGGTCTGACTTTGCCCAATCATCCTCCTACAGGCTCGTAGTTTCCTTTTCCCTCTGTTGGTTCTGTTTGTTCCCCATTTGTTCTGTTTGTTCCCTGTTTGTTCTGTTTGTTCCCCATTTGTTCTGTTTGTTCCATGTTAGTTCCGTTAGTTCCGCGTAGTTCCGCTTGTTGCGCATTAGTTCCGCTTGTTGCACGTTTGTTCCGTTCGTTGTGTGCTTTGTTTGGATCACCCTTCAGCATGTTGAAATGTCCTTGTGAATTTTGTCCTGTCTTTCCATGATGGTAGGAAAAAGTCAACTACAGGTCAAAGAAAATGATTTATTTTGTCAAGAGCTGGTTCTCTGGGTCTAGGGATAACACCAACTAAGTACATATTTTCTAGTTTGTATTGGAGACTGGGCAGCAGGTTCAGTAGTCCCATCATGATTGACTCAACTGATTTTTCTTGCCAGAGGTCTTATTTCTGTGAGGGTTAAACCAGTCCACTGAAAAACTCCATGCTAATCTGAGGTCCTGCCTCTTCAGCCCATCCATGAACAGTTTTCCATCAGCACCAGAGATCTCCTGCATCACAGTGCCATCCTTAATATCCCACATGCAATACTTCTCATTCATCATCATTCCATGGTCCATGGCTTCTTCTATACCAGGCTGACTGAACATTCCAGCAAGGAATGCATTGAAGTCTTGAATGACATATGGACACACTGGTGTCCACATTTTTCCGCCTTCACCCTTCCTATATTTGACCATCAACTGACCACATGGCTTGCTACCTCGGTACCTCTGATAAGTGCAGTGTTGGGGTATGGCGATTTTTTTCTTGTAGGTGTGGGTGGATATGTGCAGGAACATCTGGTACAAGTGGCAAATATTCAAGTAATCAGGTCCAAGTCAAAGATTTTATGGATGGTATGAATGTTGGAGGGGATGGTGGGACAGGTTGACTCTTCAAGGGTAGTCTCAAGAAGGAGATTCAAAAGGTCAAGGACTGCATTGCACCATGGACGAGTAACATGTCTGAAAACATTCAAGATTAAAACAATGAGCATGGTGATGAGTATGGCAGGATTGGCATTGTGGTATTTTTGTTTGAACCAGGGTCCTATTTGCGATTCAGTAGTGTAGGCATTCCTGCTTAACAACTGTCTCACCTGTGTCAATGATTTCTGCACTATTCAAATCATCATTGGTTGCTCTATGAGTGATGATGTCCATGATGCTCTTCACTGCATCTCTCATCTCCTCCACAGTTCCAAGAATCACATGCCAAAACTCCTCATTACAAGCATTGTCATTGACTTGCATGCATCTCACTTCTTCCTGCATATTAGACATTGTTTCATACTCTGTGGTAAGCATTGCCAGTACTTGTTGCTCATCAGCCAAGTGAAGCTGATTTACAGCATCAGTTACAGTTTGAAGACAAGCATGCATATTGATGTTGAGGAGGAAAAGTTTGCAGTAATCATCTGATGCTTCTTCATGTATTTCCACTGAATGCTCCCTTGCAGCTCTAGATGTATTATTTGGCATGCGTCAGCTCTCAACCTGCCCGTCTTCAGTCCTGTCTTCCAATGTCAATTTGAAGATGCTCCTGGTGAGGTCCTCATCATTCTATTCCTCCAAAAGTAAACTCAATGTAAGCATCAAATCATGATATTCAACCCACCCCTATCTTCGGCTGTTGCTTTGCCATCATTTATCTTGCACAGAAATCTTGTGGAACAAACTTAAAAGTATGAATGATGTAGTGGGTATTTGTAGTGAACATTAACTCAATAAAACTCTTGTTCCTGTTGTCATCCATGGCTCCTTGTATTTTTGTAGTCCTTAAGCGGCCCACTAGACTTGCCATTCATATGACCTTGTATTTTGTCATAGTCCCTCTTGAGCAGCCATTTCTCTGTCCTTGTATTTTTGTAGTTCCCCTTAAGCAGCCCACTTCATTTAACCAGTGCCCCACTAAGTGAGCCCTTAGCAGGGCACTCATATGACACACACACATTTTTAGGGTCATTGTCAGAGGTTAACTCTTAGGCATATTTGTGTACATATTCATAAATTTTCCGCCCTCTGTCTGGCCAACATAGCCCCCCTCTGTCCCCTCACCCACTCTGATACATAGTTTAAATTTATCACATGTTTGATTGTTGTCAGAACTGTGCCTAATAGGTATGAAAGGGGTTATGGAGGGGCTTAGCTTCAGCTTCTATGCCGCACTCCTTAGGCAAGTACAGTGCCCTTAACTTCAGAGGACGGATAGGGGCTGCTGAAGATCGACTCCAATGTGCTCCGACAGAGGTTCAGTAGCATAGAACTATGTCCGACACACTCCAACAGAGGTAAGGCTACAAGGGACTAAGTCCGACATAGAAAGTAAGGCAAGGACCATCCGAAGACAGAAGCAGAAGTCAGTGATATAAGTCTTGAGGTCAGACTAGATGGTGAGTGGGACTCTTAAGTCGAGTTGGAGTAGTTAGGATAGGTTTGAGTCTATATCTATGCGGCACAGCACAGCAGAGTACAAAGTAATAATAAAAGGACATTGACACATATTGCAGTAACATATCTCCGTATTATACGAGTGAACGGACATGCATAATATCCTGTATGATACGGGCCAGCAGACCATGGGCCGAAGGTAGATATATCCTCAACTATGACGGATGGGCCGGGAGTGTTATTATTCCCGATGGAGACGGGTGGGCCCATGTAGGGAATATGTAGAGTAGATGAGTGGGCCGATAGACATGAATATTCAATAGACAGATGGGCCGAGGTAGTTGGATATTATGTGGATGGGTTTACCAAGGTAGATGTGTATCAAATAGCCGGGTATGTCAAGGGTGCTTGTTATCACATAGACAGGTGGGCCCAGATATATCATATTAGACGGGTGGGCCGACGAATTAAGATTATTTTGTAGACGGGTGGGCCGAGGGAGTGGTGAAATATTTATTATATATATGGGTGGGCCGAGGGAGCGGTAAAATATTTATTATATATATGGGTGGGCCGAAGGTTGTCGTATATTGCATAGACAGGTAGGCCGACGTGGGGGTATATAATATAGACGGGTGGGCAGAGAGAGCAATTTATTAGATATTATATAGATGGGTGGGCTGAGGTAGTTGGATATCACATATACGGGTGGGCCCAGATACATATCATATAGACATATGGGCCGAGGTGGTAGTATATTATATAGACGTATGGGCCGAGGTAGTAGTATATTATATAGACGGGTAGGCTGAGATGGTTGATATCATATCCATGGGCCGGGTAACATCCATTGAGTTCCAGGTAACGTCTATCAAGTTCTGGGTAACGTCTATTGATGTCCGGGTAACTAATATCGAGTTCCAGGTAACTAATATCGACTTCCGGGTATTTCATAAATTGAACAAATCACGAAGTACCGAGTACCGAGTTCCGGGCATTGAGTTTAATTGTTATCATATACATGGGTGGGCCCAGACACATCATGTCGACAGGTGGGCCGAGCCAAGGGTGTTGTATGATATACACGGGTGGGCCCAGATGTATATGATGTTGACAGGTGGGCTGAGGTTATTATATGATATAGATGGGTGGGACTATCGAGTGCCAAGTGCCAAGCTCCGACTACCGAAATTTTAATGAACCGAGCATCATGTACCGAGTTCCGGGACCCGGGACCTGGGTCTCGACACTCGAATATTTGATATCTAGCACCCTTCCAATTATCTGGTATTTCATTGACATACTAACATTGCAATGAATGATAATCCGTCTTGGAAAGCTAAGTTCCAACTACCGAAATTTGAATGAACCAAGCATCATGTACCGAGTTCCGGGATCCGGGAGTCCCGGGTCCCGGGTCCTGACACTCAAATATTTGATATCTTGCACCCTTCCCATTATCCGGTATTTCATTGACATATTAGTATAGCAATGAAATGATAATCCATCTTTGAAAGCTAAAATCAAGGTTCCCTATCTGATCCACCCTATCTCCACCACCTTTAAAGTCTGTGGACATCCAGCATTGACCATCTGATTTCCCAAGATCAACACCATCATGAATGTGTCTTCCACCTCCGATATTGAAATAACCTTCTGGCGCACTTGGGCCTTGACAGTCACTCATGAGGCATGTGAATATACCGAACAGAAATTCATTGCCAAGAAAACAGGAGGAGACCCAGTCATACCTTCTCCTAAGCTAGACACCAATCTGGTGATGGCTTGCGATCGATTGGTGGATTGCCTCATAAAGGCATATAACAATCCCAGTGGGTCTTCCTGCAGATTCGGACAGTCCATTTGATGATTCAAATTACTTCACAGTTCGGATGCAGATTGATATTGCAAGATACAGCAAAATGATCTCCCCGAAGGACACTGGACATAATGAAGAAAGAGAGGCGAGGTTGCTTGAGAGGTGTCCACCTGGCCATGAAGGTACAAAGTTGGTCGACATACCCATGACAGTTCTCGATGCTACCGGCGCCATCATTGTGTGGTACCTCCCGGATGCCCTGACGGAAACCACCCAGGTGGGTAACATATTTTGTTACTCAATGGATATGGAATATGAAATGGGAACTCCAGAAGGAAATTCTGGCAGCCTCCGATTTGCTCAGTCCGAGCCTTGCAAAAAGTGTAAAGGTTGATGGGAGTTGGCGGACTAATCAGGATTGGTTCAAACCAAGCTCGGAAAATGATGGCATATCTCCTGGATGCATCAATCTATCTCCGGCTTGGTTTCAACAGGGGCACAAGGTGGGATCTCATGAGATGGCGGTTTCCGATAGTTACACTGACCAATCCGGTAGAATCTGTTGGACCTGGCGGTATCTGCCTCATTGAAGGGACCATTCTCCGAGAATATTCTCAAAGCCATTGCCAGGCTGGCAGCCTTCGCATCAGCCGCACTCAGGGTGATGCATCCTGAGTAGTACTGGGCTGGGATACGAGCCTTTTTAAGCCTCGGACAATCAGCCGAAAGCAAGAATCTTCTGAGGATGTCAGAGACCCTCCAGTACTGGGCATCTGTGTTTAACACCCTCACCGTCATTTCCAATCGGCAAACCCCCAATCATCGAGACCACATATTCATTCCTGAATACTTCAATATTCTCACCACCGTGGGTAGTTATTCGAATGCTTGCATGAGTATGCCAAGTCTTCAGCTGGA